CCCGGCACAGGAAGGCCAAAGTCTGTGGCCAGATGGCTGCCAGCCTGGCCCAGAAGGGCCACATGCACACCCAGGAGCTGGTGAGCATGAAAGTAAAAGAACTGTGCGAGGCCTACACAAAGGCCAGGGAATGAAGGTTCTTGGTCAGGGGTGGCACCCCAGTCATGCCACTACTTTGAGTGGCTGCATTACATCCTGGGAGGGAGGGTTGCCTCCTCCCTCCCCTCCCACATTGTTGACTCAGGCCAGGAGATGTCCATCCTCAGCCTCCGGGAAGATGGGGCTGTGGATGAAGAGGACATGGAAGAGGAAGATGAGGCTAGTCAGGACACGATGCCCTCCACTTAGGAGGTCATTATCTCCCTGGAGCCAGTACCCCCTTTCAGGATGTCCCCCTCCACGCAATGGGGAAGCCTATGGTGGCAAAGCTGGTGACAGTGGGGTCCACATTGCCCAGGATGATGACCCTGCACAGCAGAATGGCATTGATGGCCCCCACTGCCTGTAGAATGATAGAATCATCGGGTTGCCAGAGCCCTAGGGACGTCCCTGAGCTCAACCCCTTTTTCACAGCAGGAGCAACTTCAACTACTCCATCCCTGGCAGGGCTTTCTGAAGGCAGGACTGAAAAACCTGCAGGGAGGGAGAGTTCCCCATTCCCTAGGTAACTCCATTCCAGTGCTTTACCACCCTCGCAAGACAATCGTAGGGCAATTGTAAGAGAGGCAAACCTGCATGGCCCCAATGGTCAATCTCCCAAAACAGAACTGGCACCTGATGTAGCGGTAGCTGTCCAGAGTGGCAAGCTTCCAAATAGCAATAGCAACTGACTTCTGGAGGGGGTGGTGGGTCTCATGTGGGTGTCCCATCACTGGAGGGCAGGGGTGAGCCACTCGCACAGCTCCAGGAAAGTGTCCTTGTGCATGTGGAAGTTCTGGAGCTATTGCTGGTTGTCCCACTGCTTCGTGATGATCTAGTCCCACCTGTCAGAATTGGTGTCCCAGAGCCAGAAGCGGTGGTGCACGGTGTGCAGGGCAGGGTGGGTGGGACTGTGGTATATAAGAAGCACCTGAAGTGGGGTGAGGAGGTGCCCTGGCGTGAGTGCCATGATGGCAGCCTGCAGTAACTGAGCCAGGAGGTGCAGCAGGAGGTTTAAGACCTGGTGAGTGCTTTGCAGCAGGTCCCACTCCATGGCAGAACTGCTGTGTCATCCGCAAGAGCAACCAGAGCCCACAGTTAGAAAAGTTTGCTGTCCCTCAAGGAGGAAGGCGATGAGAAGGGTATGAGACATGGTGGTAGAGAGGAGCCCCTTTAAGCACAAGCCTCAGATAGGCCCAGGCAGCAGCTACTGGAAGTGACTGCTGTCCTGATGCCCTGCCCAGAGTACTTCCAGGGGGCTTTAAATGCGAGTCATGCTCCAATCAATGTGGACATGCTATTTTTATATAGCTCTGCGCTATTTCAGTGGGGATTTGTCGTCTGGACACGCTATTTTGAAATAGCTATTTCAGGAGTTAATAGTGGAGACGTGCCCTCAGTGACTTGGGGGGTGACATCTTGACTATTTGTGCTCTTGGTGAACAGAATGCCTCCTGTTAGGCACCATACTTCTATACCACAGTTCCCTTGCAGCTGCTTAATCAGCCCCGCCCAGTCAGGGGCTCAGGCTCTGTGCACAGAACTCCCTGACTGGGTAGAGCTGATTAAGCAGCTGTGGGGCTGTGTTGCTGCACAGCTTTGGACTAGAACAGAGCCTGCAGACATCCTGTCTGTCTCTTGACCTACACTTCAGGGCTACTATCCTCTCCCTTTTTATGCATCCAGTTGCTGCGGTTTCTTGCCTCCCCAGTTAGTCCCTCAGCTATAGCTCTGCTCAGTTTATTGACCATCCAATTAGGTCTCAATTAACCTATATTAGTGGGGATTAGAGGACAGGATGCTGAGTTAGATTGTGCTGAATTAGGATCTATCACAGGCCCATGTATGAATAGTTTATAAAGGATAATAGATATTATAAATATGTTACAGAAATTAAATATGGATATGAATCAAGGAGATCAGTAAACTTACTGACCTGTTGAACTTATAACAATATCAGCTGAAAACCATTTATTAAAATATCTATAATAATTTAACTCTTTATATATTATTTCTAAATGTATGTTTAATATACAATTGCATCAGATTACCATCTAAATTGCTACAATGTTAATATACAATACTATTTAAGAAGAACTTCATTTAATGCTCCTTCTGAATCTGAATCCTTTACAAAAGTATAAGCAACTACTAGTAGCACAAAAGAAGCGCAACCAAATGTTGATTTTAAAAATGTGCAGTAATACATGCTTGTATTGGAGGGTATTAATGTGTCTTTAGCCACAAGCAAGTTAGCCAAGATGTAAAACAAGGGCTACATTATGAGAAATTTCATTGATGCCCTCTTCAAGTGTCTGGCTTAATTTGGTGCTAGAAAAAAATAAATCTTCCAGTTACCTTATGACACTTTTCCAAGAACTGAAATACTATATTTAGAAGTGACTAGAACTCTGCACAGATACAAAATTGATATCCACATCTGCATCTGCAAAAATGATCCATGGATATCTGAATCTACATTCATGGATGTAGATACCTGTGGATGTAAGTAAAGAGGATATCCATGGATTTGCGGGGAAATCACATAAAACAGTAGTCCAAACTGTGATCTCATAGTACAGGTTGGTTGTACCTCCCTGGTCTGGTACTCTCAGGACCTGACTGGTCCCGGATGAGCGATTTCTCAGGACCAGGGGAGGTCATTTCTGCTCCCCCTCCTACTGACTCCATCCCCTGCCCTGCCCCCACCAGTGGACTTCCTGGCTTCCCCCCCATACCCCACAACCCACAGCTGAACCGTGAACTGGCTCCTGGCCCTCTCCTGCAGCCTAGATGAGCCATGTGCTGGGCTTCCTGACTTCCCCCCTGCTGCTCAGCTGCACTGCATGTTGCCCAGTGGTCTCTCCATTCTCATCACAGAGCACCGGAACTCTATGATCCTGGAACATTCAGACCACGGATGTTGCTGGACCAGAGAGTTCCAGTTTATAGAGGTGCAACCTATACTGGAAAGAATATAGAGCCACTATGGTAGATTTATAGCTGTAATTTAAGAACATGAGAACGGCCAGACCAAAGGTTCATCCAGGCCAGTACCCTGTCTGCTGACAGTGGCCAATGCCAGGTGCCCCAGAGGGAGTGAATCGAACAGGTAATGATCAAGCGATCTCTCTCCTGCCATCCAGCTCCACCCTCTGACAAACAGAGGCTGGGGACACCATTCCTTACCCATACTGGCTAATAGCCATTTATGGACTTAACCTCCATGAATTTATCTAGTTCTTTTTTAAACCCTGTTATAATCCTAGCCTTCACAGCCTCCTCAAGCAAGGAGTTCCACAGATTGACTATGCGCTGTGTGAAGAAGAACTTCCTTTTATTTGTTTTAAACCTGCTGCCCATTAATTTCATTTGGTGGCCCCTAGTTCTTATATTATGGGAACAAATAAATAACTTTTCCTTATTCAGTTTCTCCACACCACTCATGATTTTATAGACCTCTATCATATCTCCCCTTAGTCTCCTCTTTTCCAACCTGAAAAGTCCCAGTCTCTTTGACCTCTCCTCATATGGGA